ATCGGCAGATAGAAGTTGGTTTTAACTTCCAAAATGGTATTCATCTCTCTACAGCACCATTACACTAACATGCACATAGTCACTTATGCTCAGTTTGGCTATTTAAATGATGATGTAATTTAGCAAATTTTAGGACAACTAATAGATACTTTTGTTTCTGAGAAGTTGGCAACACTGGACTGATAAATATAACTAAGAGAYTGACATCCATGTAGGAACACAGACATTGTTGGATTGAGAAAGCAGCTACAAACAAATGGTTTGATGATGACATTTTTGAAAAGAAATTGCTTAAAACCTGAAAAAGCATGTAAAAGTGCCTCCATTTTGGCTAGCTATTACCCTAGCCTAGCCAAAAATCACCAGACTATCCCTTTAAAGGTGTCACTCTTTTCTTTTGCGTTCCCTCACAAAAGTCATTTATTTACGGTTGCTCACTATAATAAGGGGGTTAGCCTACTTTTTCAATTCAGCTTCTGAATGAAAATGTCAGCCACACATAGAGGTAAGAAGATATTTTAACTCTATGCAGCCACGCAATATATATATATATATATATATATGTATAGTCAGTTTCTGAATTTGTGGCAACACATCTGTTTCGGTAACCGGATATTTCAAAATAAAAGTCTGATTTATTACAGTTGGTACAAAACATTAAAACTGTGCGTGGGACATGAATGTTAGCCTAATTGGTAATTAAATTGTGCTGTCCCTCGCACAGGGAGTGCTGGTTATGAGCACCAGTGACCCTGAAAGAAAGAAGTGGGTAAAGATAATGGATGGATGGATGGATGGATGGATGGATGTATGGATGGATGGATGGATGGATGGATGTATGGATGGATGGATGGATGGATGGGTGATCTTCAGGTTGTTTTTTCTCTTCATAAGTGCTGAAGGAAATTTTTATAACTGATTAATTGAATGTTAGATGCAGTATTGTATTTTATACTTTCAGATCATTTCTGCCTGTAAGGTTAAAGCAGACRAAGAGTTGATGTGTGTCTTATCATGTGTTCTTTCTTTTAGCCTAAACAAGAATGTATTTCGTTCTGACATCTGATGTAAAAGGTAACACCTCCAAGAGTGCAACCAGGGAGAGATGTACATTATAAGGTCAATTCATTATTAAAGTAGTAAGAAGTTGTCAGCGTGTTGAAGAGTGTCTGCTCAGTAGCAGAGCTCTTGTCTGTTTGTTTTGATTCAGCATAAGGTCTTGAGGCCTGTGTGTGCTGTACTTTGAACCTGATTGGAGTCAGAAGATTGTAAATAATGTTTTAAGAAGAATCCAGCGGATTCCTGTTTATTCAGACATACCAATTTGAACAACGCATATTTTTCTTACAGTGCCACGAATTAAAAACAAAACAAAATAACAAAACAAAACAAAAAAACAAGTTTAACAAGTTTTATCTGTAACCTGAAGACAGTACAAATCCTCCCTTTCACCCCCCACCGCGCCTTGAACGATGATTTGCAACACGTTACCCATCCGACTGTTTCAGCCGGCACTTGTTCGGTAATTATCCCTGAGAGCGCGGTGCGCGACTTTGTGAGTGAGCAATAAGTGAAAGATTAAGTACGATGAGGCTGAGAAAACTGAGAGAGGAAAAAAGTGAAGGGAGGCGGGAAGTTGCTCCAAAAAAAAGAAGAAAAAAATGAGGAGGGCTGTTAGATCAGCCAACTGTCGGCGTCGAAGGTGCAAAAGCAGGCTGCTGCCGTGACACTTCCTGCTGCCACGCTGCCCGCAGGGAGGGAACATCTGCCAGTGGAGGTAACATTAATCCTGCTGGTGTGGAGACACACACACACAGACACACACACACACACACACACACACACAAAACCACCGCACGCATGACTTCTTCCACCGCAACGAAGGCCAGATGTGTATGTGAGCAAAGGCCATTATTATTAAACAAAAAGAGCAGTCTTATTTCATCTTTTTGGAGAAATGAATGAATTTGCATCTCGACTCTCTTATTTACCTGCCTGTGAAGTAAAACAAAGACAAAGTGTTGGATAAACTTCCCCTCTCCCCTGCCCCTTGAGATTTATTCATGAACAAATTAAGATTCTGGTGGTGAAGTTAGACGTGAACTGCAGCCGTGTTGAATCGGGCCAGACCAAGACGCCTTACGGCAAAGATGTATGTAAAAATGTACATATTGTACAGCTGTAAGGCATAAAATAAATTACTAAGAATGATAGGGGCAAACATGGAGACCACTGTAAATGAGAGGAAAGTAAAAAGTTACTAACTTGGTGAAATAACTTGGAAAAAACTCTTTATTGCTTCACCTAGAAAAACAAGTTGTTTATCTTATTTTCTTGAGATAAGGCAATCATCTGATGATCTATAGATAGTAAAGCTTGTTTCTGTAAGATTTCAACCTAAACAGCTTGTTTTTCTCATAAAAATATAAATGAATTTGAAATTGCAATAGAAAAAGARGAGTTTTCTTCAGCAGATCTCAGGGTAGTTTGTGGAATCTGATTTAAGCTCTAAGTGTCATATCAAAGAACATTTATCAGTGATCAACCCACTTCTGTTTTAGATCATCTCCACGGGTCAAGACAGCGATACTGATTGACGGTGAGTGGGTGGAAAASAAGAACCACTCATTTTTGCACCATAATTATCCCATTATTTAAAAAAAGCAAAAGCTCATCTTGAAATGTGTTATCTTAGTAAACGGAGATAAAATTAGCTTTGTTATTGAAGATAATAGCCTAATCAACTTGTGAGCTCAAGAGAAAGCTGATGAAAATGAATATTTGGAGGAACTGTGTAAGGTTGTACATCTTGTGATGACAATTTCATGCAGTAAAAAAAAAGGTTGATTTTTTTTTTATTTAGTGTAAAAACAAAAGTGTAGGTGCAGATGTACTTAAAACCAAATGAACCAGACAACTTTGGCTACACTGAAGGGCTTACTGATCAATACCAATTGTTAATATTATTTTTGCATGGACGTTCACTTTATATTTTGAATGCGACCTCCATAAGACTCCCGTATGAACTCTATACAACAACACAKAAATGCCTACACTTCAGCTTTAGCCCTACTCTTCAGGTTTTGTCACATTCGGTTTGCTGCTTAGAGAAGTAGCTAAATATTGTTGCTGCATGTTAGCATGTTGATTCTGAAGTTGTGCAATCAGAGCCGATCAAATAATTATCTGACATGTTTGTTTAGTTCACTGTTTACATTTTTTACCTGCTTCTGACCCAATGCTCCWGTGAAACTTTGTATATTGGAGCAGAAAGTAAAACTAAAGTATTGATCCAATATCTTTAGTATACGATCCGAGACCGACGTCACTATCATGCGACACCAGCGTTCAGACTGAGGTCGCTTTGAAAAGCACCAGGGGTCAGATTTATAAAACTTGCGTACGCACAATTTGAGCCCAGAAACTTGCGTACGCCACTTTTTACGCCAAGGTTGTGATTTATAAAATCCAAACTTGACGTGAAAATGTGCGGTGCCTCACGCCAGCTCTGACCCATGTGTACGCTCAATTTGGAGACGTGAAACTGCGACACAGATGGTGAAGTGAGGAATTAGAGCCACACTGTGTAATGATCACTGTCAGATATTTAATTTACCTTCAGAATCAGACTTAAATAAAAGTTCCCGTGCGCAACTCCATTCATCTGCTTCCTCCTCAGACGACCCCGACCCATACAGACCCCTCCCCCCCGATTAGAACAGCAGGACAGCAAAAGCTTTGGATACACGCGCAGCGCGTGTATCCAGTCCGTGTTTGTCACGCGCGCGCGGGGGGGGGGATGCGTGCGTGCGTGTGTGTGTGCATGCAT